AAAAACTTTTTAATTTTTTGTTATACAAACTTTTACCTAATTAGTAAAAAATTGTAACTGTTACAAAAACTGCACCTTGCTAAATTTATTTTAATTAAATTAGCACAAAATTTATCTTGCATATAAGATTTGTAATTTGATTGCAAATCTTGCTAAAAATTCTAAACTAAAAATTTACTATTTTAATTTCTAAAAATATAAATTTTCTATTATTATTCTAGTTCTATTTTTAATTTTAGCTAAATTTATTTTTAGAATATTTGTAACACTAATACAAGCCCAAATTTAGACTTTTTTCCAAAACCTTGAATTTAGATCTGACAACTCAGTATTTAATCCAAAAACTTAGAATTTAAACTAATAACATGATACAGACCTAACAACTCAGTACTTGGTTTCAAACTAACTTTTGCTCATATTTACAAGCTCATAAACCTTAATTAGTTACTCAACATGCCTACTCTTACTATGATTGATCTAAATACTTTTGACTTTGACTATTTCTATACTAAATTTGCTAATAGTTACAGTATTGCTTTTGATAAGAAAAACTCAAGTAATACTTAGCTTATTCCTGCAAACTTTAGGCTAATAGATTGTATTACCAAGGCTCTTCGTAGAAATACTAAAACTACTTATTTTATCAAAGCTCCTAGTACTTCTGCAATTTCTTTCTGTCTTTGTGATAAATATTATAATAACTTTATTATAGCTAACAAAACATTCTTAATCTCATGCTAACAAATTTTACAACATTTGTTGCAAGTACTACAAACAAAAAAACTAAAACTATTCTTGATAATTTTGACAAAATCACTCAATTTATTCTACCTTCTCCTACTCCAATCTTTCACAAATATGCATGCAAAAAATGCTAGTTAGCTATTCAGTGCAAAATTACAAATAACCAACACTACCTCTCAAATAATACCAAATTTGAACAAGGTGAAACTATTTACCATAGCTACACTATCGCAACTACTTCATCTACTTCTAGTAGCTTTTCTACTGCAACAACATTAGCTTTAGGTACTAAAAATCTTGATAGTACAAGAAAAAATCTTGCTACTACCTTCAAACAAACTCTCTAACAAGATAAATCTATACCTAATCCTACTACTACTACTCCTACTTCATCTCCAAAATTGACTATACAAACTAATCTCTTAATTAAAGAACTTGCTTTACAAAATTAGCAAATTATGAAAAATCCTGCTAAACTCATTAACCCTCTAAACAAAACTCAAACTCAACAAACTAATACAACTTCTACTCCAATAACTACTACTATCATAGCAACCAATACAAATACTTCAATTTCTAATATTATTACAAACCAACAAACTATCAACAAAGGAAAAGCTAAAAATACTAAACAACTTCAAACTACTAATATTAATCAAACTACTAATACTGAAAACTTAGATACTCCAAAAAAGAAACTTGAATCTATCTTTGACTAGCTTCACAACTTCTCTATTTTAGATAAAATGAAGCCTAATAACAAACTCCAAACTCAACTATCTAAACAACTTTTCAACTTTCTCAAAACTAATTTGTATGATTTCATTACTAGAAAAGAAATCAAACCTGCAACCCAAACAAAAAAAGCATTTAAAGCTAGCTTTTACCAAATTCTTAGAAATATAGCTAAATAACAGTCTAAATTTTTAACTTATCTAATTTTTTAAAGCAATCCTAATATCGATACAAATACAATAATCTTATTCAATATTTTAGAATTAATGATGAAAAAACTCATTTTTAAGTTCACAACAATTTTATTCACTAAACTTAACTATGCAGAAATTTTTGTATCACCTTATACAATTCCTCTATACAAAACTAATAGTAGACTTCAGTTCTGTATGAATCTTGCAAGAATTCATCTTTACCTCTCTAAAAATTATCAACAAGCACTAAACTACAAAAAGTTTGCAAAAGATTTTAATTTTTATCCTATGAGATTTATAATATCTTCTGCAATTAATAGATTTGATCAAGAGGGAAAATACCTTACAATCAAACAAGATAAAAAATTTAATATAACCCTTCTTTTCAATATCTCAAAAACACTATTTTTAGAGAAATTTAATATTTCTTCTCTAAAAAATTCTTTAGAATACTTTGAAAATTGGTTCAAAAAATTCTTCTCAGTTTACAACTGACAATTTGATGAACTATTAAACAAAACAAAAGTGTATAATGTACTTAAACACCAATTCTGCTTACAATTTATCAAACAACTAACCCTGCTTCTCTCAACAGAATATGAAATAGCTGAACCTCAATGCTTTGATAATAGAAGAACTAAAAGTATCAAATATTCTAATCATCATATTCTAACCTGCAAGGATAAGGCCTGTATCTTCTTAGCTGAAGGAGTGCATGACTTCTCAACTCTTCTTAAAAGATACACAGACTACTCTTATGAACTATTTCTAAAAAAGGAGTTTGAAATTTGAAAAGAACCCTTTCTTAAAATTAAAATTTTTGAACTTGAACAAGAAAATGAAGCATTTTTCTCCAAACTAGTTCCAACTCAACTTCTTAACCAACTTGTAAATGAAGCTGAAAAAGAAGCCTGTGAACTCAACAAAGTAGTAACTAATACTAAACACAGAAGTTTTTATTTTTACTAATATCTTAACTCTTATCACCATGAAGTAGCAGTGAACTTTAGAATTATTGATCTATCAAGAGACCAAGCTATCAAGTTCACATGTACTAAAATACTCAATACATTTATATTAGCTCAGATTCAAACATATTTTGATATTATTTAAGATACAACTCCTACATACCTACAGATAGTTAAACACTTCTCTGAACAAGCATTCCTTTTTGCAGAAAAATATCTTAAAGAAAAACATAATATTAACTTCCAAGAACTCACAAACTTGGAAGATTCTCTGTTTCTTTCTAAAACTTCTTTTCAATAAGATCTTCTATATATATAGATGCAACTACTATCTCTAATTTGAAATTTCATCTTACTGCCTATAGTAAACCAAATTTAGAGAAGAATAATGTAAGTAGGTGAGTAGAAAAGTCTATTTATGTGGCAACTTAAATAAATGATAGTTAGACTCAATATACAGAGCAAACTTTTGAGTTTAGCATAGCTATGAAAACCAAGTATATAGTAAGTATTTATATAGAAGACCTTTTAGTGCTTTCAATTCCAACATCCTTAAAACCCTTTGAAGTACTAACTTGTTACAACACATTCTTAAAATTTTATAATATTGATCTATTAAAATCTGATCAAACTATTGTATCATTCATAAAATATCTAAAAGAAAAACAATTCTCAAAACCAACAAGATTCGCTATCAAAAAACAACTCAATGAAGCCTATATATATCTTCCTTGTCATAATAATATTTTTCCAAACTATATACCACTTAACCTCTTCACTCTTTCTTAATATTATAATACTCCTCTTAGAACTTTTACAAACCTCAAGCTCCCTGACTTTGATAATTATTTAAACATTCCTAACTCTACACTGAACTCATCTAATATTTCTACTATACAAACATCTACTAATACTAATACTAACAATACTAACAACTCTCTCTCCCTTAATATTGTAACTTATAATATTCGAAGCTACAATAATTCACTTAAAATACAACTATGAGAAGATTTCTGTCTTCTCTACAACTACAATATCATTAGCTTAACAGAAACTAAGCTTAAAGACTCCAAATTAAAATTTTTCAATACTCAACACTTTACATACCACCTATCAAACTCTGCTACTTCTATAGAAAGAACTAGAATAATGCTATTAAACAAATTGATACCACATATTCACAAAATTCTTAAACATTGTTGACTTATAAAACATAAGGAAAAACACAAATTCCTTAATATCTTTCGATCCACTAGTCCGAATTGGATGAAACACATACCATTGGAATCAGCTCACTGAGACGGTTCTAATGAGCCAGGTATCATTGAAATCCAATCACTGAATCCCGAGATAATCAAGATCCGGCTTTTTATCATAATCTGTGTGATCTGATTGGCTAAGTGACTACTGCGGGAGATGCGTTACATGTAAGGATATTACTCGGGTCAGAAAATAGTGATCCGGGTTTGACCTGAGTCAGAAATGTTGACCTGCATCATGACTCAGGTCAACAAATCAGGTGGGTTAAAGTTTATTACAGTGTAATGACCCTTACATAAAATTGGTGTAATGGCTCTTAAATAAAGTTAATTGTCGAATTAGTCAAGTACTGTATTACAAAACAAATTACCAAGTATCGAACGCCCACATTTCATTGTTAAATACTCAATAAATAAGTTATAATAATTACGTACGTACGTACGGTGCAGGAAATTTAAAAACCTCAATCTCTTTGTATAGAGATACGCATAAATATTATAAATCTCAATAGAATAAAAGATCAAGAATTCTCAGCCTTTTTGCATAGAAATAATATGCCAAGAAGGATTGTACTTATTAGCAATTATTCTATGCATACTAAAATAAAGCTGCTACTGAAAATGACATATTTAGGTTATCTCTCATGTGTTAGTTGGCCTTTGCTCCATATAAAATAATTGAGGTTTTTAGACTTCCTGCACTATATATTTAATACAGCAATATAAAGGTTGTCTTTCATTTGGCTGAAACGTGAATTTCTTATAAATAACAATTGCATGAGTCTAATGTTACATAACCTTGTTCAATATGTTAAAGAGAAGAATTATGATACTCAAAATATAAACATCAAATAAATTTTTGTACATACGTACATTAATTCATTATCACTAACTTTGTTCTTATAGCCATCTTATATTATTAAACAATTTTTTTGTATAATAATTAGAAGTAAAGAATATTGTTCATCACGACTTATTACATTTTTGTTGTTTGACTAAATACTATAATATAGTAAAATAATTATACTTTCAAAGAATAACTTGATTTATCAAAAAAAAAAAAAAAGGTTACAAATTTCAATTAGCAAAGCCAATAAACAATGGGTGATGAGTATTCGGATAATAAGTACCTGGATAATATGTATTTAGATGATGAGTATAATGATGAGTATTTGGAGAATGAGTATTTGGAGGATGAGTATTTGGAGGATATGATATTAGAGTGTGAAGATACTAATATAGAGAGATTAGAATCCAATAATATGGATGGTTTAAACAGTAATGAAGCTTCACCACAACCTTCTATATCAGTACATATTAATAAGCATCATCTAGTTAAAAAGTGAAAAAAAAAATTAAAAAACCAGGTAGTAGCGCTGTTAAAGTTTTTTATAAAACAGTGTTAATTAATGATGTAGAGTATTGGGCCTGTCGTCACAAAATTTGCATACCACAAGTAAAGTACCAGAAGGATGGTTCTACTTTAAACTTGTGGTGATATATGAGGAGTAAATATTATATCTTAAAGGCTATGATAGAAAATGGCAGAGTAAAAATCATGTCAAATGATAATGATAAATATAAATTTTCTATAATGGCAGAGTCTTTACAACCAACAATAAAACAAGTATTCGATAATATAAAAAAATATGCATTTAATCATCCCAAACAGAAAAAACTCGATAACAATATAGCTGTATTTATTATTGAGGATCTTCAACTATTTTCAGTACTTCAATTACAAGCATTTAAAAGAATAATAGAAGGACTTGATATTCAGGCTAATGTTCTTAGTATAGATTATTTGAAAGAAATTTTTATAAATAGTGAAGATAAAATTTTAAAAAAAATTCGTGAGTATGCAATTGACAATACTGAAATTAGTAGTATTTCATTTACTACTGATATGTGGACGTCAGACAATGGCGATCTATATATTAGGCTTACGCTCCACTGGATTAATAGTAATTTTGAAATAAAAGAGATTATTAGTAATATTTCATATCTTCTATATCCTCATACAGCTAAATGTCTTTCTAACAAAATAGTCGAAATTTTAGATAATCTTCAACTTAAAAATATAACTGTTTGTGGTACAATTGATAATGGATCAAATATTAAATTATATTTAGAAAAATTAGAGCGAAAATATAGTATATATAAAGTTTTTTGTTTTGGATATATATTACAATTTGCAATTAATGATGCATTAAAAAAATGTCCCAAGATTACAAATTTAATAAAAAAATGTAAAGATATAGTATCACACTTTAGTGGAAGTCCAAAGCAAAAACAATTTCTTTTAAAAGTGCAAATGGAGATGGAAGACTGGAATAAACTTCTTACTGTAGTTCATGATGTATCAACGAGGTGGAATTCGATATTTTATTTATTAAAATGATTAACTGTTCTTAAACCTGCATTGTATAAGTATAAGTTACTTTTAGTCAAAACTGATAACAATAACTTATTAAAAAATTATGAAGAAAAGGAACTATCGTTAGATGCTTGGGATAAAGTAACTGGATTAGTCAAATTATTGTATCCTTATGAAGTTATTTCTAAAAAATTATCTGGTTTGCAATATCCAACACTTTCGCAAGCATAGTTTGTGATTAACTTTATTAAAGTTAAGCTTGATTGTACTATAACAAATTATACTGATATTCAAAATTTTAGAAAATTTCTTTATGAGTCTATTCAAATACGATTTTTAAAACCAATGAAGCTAATTCGGCTTGCTGCTTTCTTTGACCCACAAACCAAAGATATGCAAATATTTACAGAAGAAGAGAGAGATCTTACTATTTCAGAAGCACTTACTAAATATGAATTAACTTCTAATTCTTATGAAACTAATACATTAAATACAGGTAGGATTGTAAAATTACTATAATTTTACACAATCTTGTGTAAGTTTTGGTAAAATGAGTTTCATGTAATTTGTAAATGTGATTATTTTATATCAATACAGTTCTATATAATCAGTTAAATCATATGTATCAATTTGATAAACTAGATTACTATTCAAATTTATTTCAGATAATACGATATTAATATAATTTTAATAAGCATCCTTATTACATCATTCACAGTAAAAATAATATTCTTTAAACTACATAATCCGAAATAATTTGGGTGATGAACCTATTTATTGAAATTTAACAATGCTAGTTAAGTTTTTTTATAGTACTAGTACCGTTTATTATATGTGAAATTTATATGAAATCTATATTACTGAAACATGTAAAATTACAGTATTGTAAGATGATAAAATGTAATTTTTTTAACCCTAAATACAGGAGATCAATTAGATATGACAGCATCTTATGACAAAATAGATAATGAAGACATTTTTGCTCCATCAGCTACTGACTTTCAAGAATATTCTGATTAACAATATAGTACAAGGCGTGAGTTCAATTCATATCTTTTGCTACCAAAGGCTTCAAGTGAAACAGATATACTTCAGTAGTGGGCATTAAGAAAAAATGATTACCCAATTCTGGCAAAGCTTGCTCAGAAATACTTAGCAATTTCAGCAACTTCTGTGCTATCAGAACACCTTTTCTCATTTGCAGGTCTTACCATTACTGATAATCATATACGACTTAATCCTCAATTTGTTGAAACAATCTTATTTCTTAATGCGGCCTTAAAACTTTGGCCAGTTTCTCATATTTTTAAATAGATAATAAAAAAAATTTATATTAAAATATGATTAATTGAAATTCAAACTTTATAATCTAATAAACTTTATTGAATTAATAAAAAAGGATTAAATAGTTGAACAGACTCGAAGTACAAAAATAATAGGAAATTGAGTCACAAATATTTGAAAAATTAATTTGTGAAGTATTTATTGGTTTAAATAGAAATTGAACATTCACACTAAGAATTAATGATGCAACTCATCGTATAATAGTCTAAATAGAAAATCACCCGAAGTAGTCGTTAAGAAATCGATCCTAATAATGCATCGGCCAAGACAATATAAATAATTATATTAGTTTGCAAAAAATTTAAAAAAAGCTTATTGTTAAAACAAGCAAAAAAAAAGTGTTATTGAATCAGATACTTTATTATATCTAGAATTTTCTAATTCAAAAGGACAATAAATAGCGTGCATAGAGATTGGACCTGTTGAGAAAATTAAATTACCCAGGTTATCTGAGTAAATTATTATTTCGGGTAATCATTTAGAAACAATTTCTATTCAAGTCCAATCCCTAGGCGTGCGATTAATTTATACAATAATAATTTTGACAATTGTTAACTTGTTTTTGACAAATAAATAAATTTTTGATGCATTTGGTATCTAATCCGTTTGACCCGTTTGACCCGAGTTAGATAAAATTTGACCCATGACCCGTGAGTTGTTGACCTGCACAGGTCAACGTGACCTGGGTAACATCCCTAGTTACATGTAGCATATCTATTACCTATAGTTTTTAAGATACATTTACCACTTATCATATTTATATTACTTATCATATTTATTATATATTTCATACATGTATTAGTTATATTATATATTTTATTAGTAATAGTTATAGCATATATAG